CAGGGTATTTATTTTGTGGTTTGCCATTTCGCAATTAGCACGGTTTTGCTCACCTCTCGTTTCTTTTCTGGCTTCCCCTACTTTACCAGACTTACCCCCCTCCTGTTTTTACACAGTAGGGGAGCCCCATCTCTCAAAGTAGGCTCCTTGATGGTGGCGAAGAGATCTCAGGAATTGAATCAATGCTATTATTCCTTGATTTAAATCTTTTACAGATGAATCTCCCAGCCAGCGTTCCCGTGACGATCTCTAGCTCAAGTCCCCTCAAAGCCGTCATCATGACTTACGAAATCATAGTTACACGATTGAACTAGAGTTCGTCACGGCCACGCTGGCAGGGGATTAGTCTGGAAAAACTAGCATTTGTGGTCACAGTGGTGGCCCATACTAACCTTCCTAGATTGAAGCCTGAATGATTTCCATTCCTAGGTACTGTACCACCCTATGGTATTAACTTTGGTAAAAGATACCCAAGTGATTTAGAATGACGCATAAGTAAACAGTTAGGACATTTTAACTGGCATTCTTCACGTCACTCTCCTCGTTCTACGTCTATACTTGGTCGAAAAGTTTTCTAGCATGTCCTTGCGTTTGCTCACGTTTCTTTCTAAACCACTAAATCCCTAAGGGTTTAGTGCCTTCCTATGAATTTAATAGCAGTAGAGGGCCCCCCTCTGTATGGCCTTAAAAACGTAGTTATGTGACGTAACTGTGGGACATAATTCACCGTCTTAACTCACCGTCGTAAGCAACTAAGTTTACATTATTCCTGTCGTATCTGTTTATAGTACCTGATTTTTCACACATTTAGAAGTTTTAACTTTTAAGGTGTAAATAATACGATACTACAGGAATTCCAATGGAAATAAGTGATTTTTTTTGTGTTATCGTAGGTATTTTACACTATATGATAATTATAGTTGTGTACCTGTGCCTAAATACTTATTTCTACCTGTGGAATTGTCCAATGTAATACTGCCTGCAACTGCTTCACCACCTGATCTACAGTATATAGGCCACTTCACACATATATATTGTTCTTTCTAAGACTTGGGCTGATCACAGCTGCTCCAGACTGAGGGACTGATTACCTCAAACTCCTCCTGACCTTCATTATTCTTTGTATAGGACTGATGAAGCCACTGTGGTGGCAAGTTTCCTCAGTAGAGATACCCAAGTGTTGCTACACGTGTAATTTATCAACTTGTCGGTTTTCCGAACCATTATTCGACAAACTAATGGGGAACTCCCGACTTGACGAGTCTGTTAGACGGACTAATGTCCCCTCAATCCTCCCCTCACCCCTGTAAAGCAAGACTGATGTAAAATGTTGGGAGGATCCAGCTCTTGGACCCCTCCATTCCAATGAGGTTGGAACCCCAGTCTCTATCTTCTGTACGAAGCTTAAACATGCGGATTCCTCTGTTTAATTTAGGCTTCCGAGTCGTTCGCTTTGCAATATGTAAATACACTAAAAGGCTTTAACTATTAAAGATATTTATTGTTTAGAGAATAAGCTCGAATTTGATTCAATATAGAAGTAATATCGATTTAGAGATATATATAGATATATATACATATATATATATATAGATATAAAGATATGTATAGATATATAGATAAAGGACCCATCAACGGGTAAACAGAAGCCAGAGTCACGAGAGGTCGTTCCTGCTTGACAAATTTGCTGACGTTCTTTAAAAAGCTTCTGAAGCAGTACACAACGATAAAGAATATGTTGTTTATATCGATTTCAGAAAGGCCTGCTGCAGTGTTCCTCCATTCTTGTACATGACTGGTATAAGATACCAACAAAATGAAAATTAGACACGTGAACCATCTGGGTGTCTATTGTGGTCGCCAGTATATAAGCACCAGCCTTCTTGCCTGTGCTCCAGACTCTAGGCTACGGTGCTCTTCAACACTAAGGCTGAGGGACTGATTACCTCATCTTTTGTACCTAGCTCATTTTTCAATTATGTCCTTGAATTTGTATTGATAAAGCCATTGATTGGCGAAACGTCTACGGTAGACACGCCCATGTGTCTAACTTTCATCATTCAGTCTCACGTAAACTCGGCAACATTTGTGAGGAGAGAACAGGATGGAACGAAGATACGTGTTCCAGAGTAAGCAGTTATTGGAAAAACGCTTCGCCGTGAAGAGGTGTTTGAAGTCGTGATGAAACGATACGGAATAACGTGTTCCCAATAAAAACTGTTCGATACCCAGTCTCTAACTCTCAATTTTGTCGGCAGTACGATATGTGTGTCTAAATGAATTGCATGATGTAAGCGTTACAGGTACTGCAATTACTGTTTATCTGGAGAGAGTTCCGGGGGTCAACGCCCCCGCGGCCCGGTCTGTGACCAGGCCTCCTTAGGTCAGTGTCCCAGGATGCGACCCACACCAGTCGACTAACACCCAGGTACCCATTTTACTGATGGGGAACATAGACAACAGGTGGAAAGAAACACGTCCAATGTTTCTACTCTGGCTGGGAATCGAACCCAGGCCCTCACCGTGTGAAGTGAGTGTGTTAACCACCAGGCCACCAGAGCCCTGTAACGTGTCAAGAAAACTGTGGAGGATACATGATATTAGAGTCAGTGAAGAGGCGGGGCCAGGAGCAGTCCCTCGACCCCTGGAACTACGATTAGGTGAATTAGGAGAGTACATAATATTAGAGTGAACGGGGCTGGGTTTGATTAGTACCCGATATACTAAAGAAATTCTTGGGACGCTTTGAGAAAAAGGATGAATATATGGGTGGAAATGGGTGGCTTAGGTAAGGACCTGTCTTGTGATGAATGGTTTTGAAAACCGACAAGTTGAAGAATTGAAACACTTATGCAACATATGGGAATCTTTACTGAAGAAACGTTTCGCCACACAGTGGCTTCATCAGTCCAATACAAAGTATTGGACTGATGTGTTGCATAAGTGTCTTAATTCTTCAAGGACCTGTCTTGTATGGGCCAGTGGTCCTGCTGCAGTGTTCTTCTATTCTTATGTTCTTGTACACCACGAGCACATCTCTGCTTCTGTAGATATGACCAGTTACGACGCCACGACCTCTGCTCCTGTAGATACAACATCACGACCTCTGTTCCTTTAGCTATACCCAATAACACCAGTTATGACCAATAACGACAGAACACGACCTGTACTACTGTAGCTTTGACAAATAAGACGACCTCTGTTCAAGTTATAACCAATTACGACAACACCACATCTTATGGTCGTTTAGTTACGACCAGTTAGTTAAGCACAACTCACTAACAATACATAACTTAAAATTAACAATAAACTAACTCGTATGTAAGTTTTAGTTTTAAAACAGTTTTAATTAAACCGCAAATTAAATTTTTCATGAAAAGGTATGAATATTCAACGTATATATACCGTTGTGGTCGCAGAAACGTATATACCTGTGAATCCACATACGTTGTGATGGTGCATCTGTTTATTCAGGTATAAACTTCGATTATACATTGTTTGTACAATGTTCCAGACAATAAAACTGTCTTATCCCGGCAGAGGGACTGACCACCACAAATCAGTCTTCAGGAGTGATAGACTGATTACATCGTCTTCACATCTCTATTGCCAACTTTTCTGTACTCGACTGGAGAAGCCTACTGTACAGGTGAAACGTTTCGGAATCAAGATACCCAACTGTTGCACACGTGTCTCACCAACATGTATAAACCTTAAAAGTAATATGGAGTCCACCTCTAGTGTAGCTGTGGGACCCATAGCCTCAGAAAGGTGGATAAAAAGGCCTCAAGGAAGAATACTGGGATTTCTTCCTGAAGCCATTTAAATATTCCACTTCCCCTACCACCCTATCCTTTCATTCTTTTTACTAATTGGTGTGTGTGATTATTTATATATATATATATATATATATATATATATATATATATATATATATATATATATATATATATATATATAATATGACATGTATAAACAGTACGTATTTTAATAAACTAAAGTAGGAAGTAGGGCAGAGGAGTAGCGAGGGAAAAGTAAGGAATGTGACCAGATATTCGCTCGTAGATAACTATCCTGGGAAGCTGGAGCGAGTTACGACATCTTAAGTAGCGATGGCGGCGTGTTGTTGCCTCGTGTACGTCGGTCAGGCTCCTTTGGGGGCAAATTTGTGAGATAATTTCGTGTCATTATGGTGGCGGGGAGGGGGGCTGGGTGCCGCTAGGAGCGCCAGTAGGGTGACTACACGACGTAGCTGCAGTTACGCTAGGAGCGCCAGTAGGGCGACTACATGACGTAGCTGCAGTTACCGCTAGGAGCGCCAGTAGGGCGACTACACGACGTACCTGCAGTTACCGCTAGGAACGCCAGTAGGGTGACTACACTACGTAGCTGCAGCCGCTGCTGTTTACTACCCTCTGGCGTGACAGGGAAGTAGATAGGGTTGAAATATAACAAGGTTCCCGAAATCGTTATAACACAATGAGTGGAACAGTCTACCTAGCCGGGTCACTGAAGCTAAAACTTTGGGCAGCTTCAAATATAGGGCAGGTAAATACATGAATGAGGGGGGTTTGGATCCGAGTGGGAGTTGCACTTGAGTTCAAGTTATCACTGAAAAAGGTTACGTAAATATTTTTAGTGGGTTTGAGAAGGACCTGCTAAGTATGAGCCAGCAGGCCTGCTGCAGTGCTTCTCCTTCATGTTCTTGTAATTGTTAGGTGAATGGACACTGTTATAATCATGGGGGAGCGCTAAACCCGTAGGGATTATGCAGCGCCTGTGGGTGGGGGGGGGAATAGAAGGCATCCAAGCTTAATTTGGGTAACTGGAGCACAGATCCAATTCCCAAGTTCAAGAGCCCTTCCTCACCAGCATCAAGGAACCTTCCGTGAGGGGTGAAACGACACAAGTGCAATTAATGTGACATTTTATTGTGGCAACGTTTCGCCCTGTGTCCATCTTCATCAGGTTACATGTTTAAAAATTTTAGTGCGTAAATATTAAACATTAATCCTAGAAACATTAAACATTTTTAAAAAACATTAACACTAGCTGCAATAAAAGCCTGGCATGTCAGTGACCAGAGGTCACAATGTAACTTGGGTCATGTCACGTGCGGGTACAAACGCACGTGACATGACCCAAGTTAAACTGCGACATGTACTAGATATGTATCGGATGTGAAAAATTTAGATATCCGCGGATGCGGATGTGTATGAGGATGTCTTACTTATTTTTGCGGATGTAAGAAAATGTGTGGATGTTTGGCAGATGCGGATATCCATTTACATAAAACACAGATGCGGATGTAAGAAAATGTGCGGATGTTTGGCGGATGCGGATATCCATTTACATAAAACACAGATGCGGATGTAAGAAAATGTGTGGATGTTTGGCGGATGCGGATATCCATTTACATAAAACACAGATGCGGATGTAAGAAAATGTGCGGATGTTTGGCGGATGCGGATATCCATTTACATAAAACACAGATGCGGATGTAAGAAAATGTGCGGATGTTTGGCGGATGCGGATATCCATTTACATAAAACACAGATGCGGATGTAAGAAAATGTGCGGATGTTTGGCGGATGCGGATATCCGATACACTACATTTGTGTTCTCGTACACTTATACCAGCCACATTTAAACCTAATATGCAGTTTGAGTGGAACTCATCTGAAGTATAATACCAATCTGTTTAAGATACACCAGCATTGAGGGTTTGAAATCAATCACAAGAGGCAGTTTTTAAAAGTCACCCCACAAAAAAGTAAATACCTACTGAAAAAAATCTTTGTTACTGCAGGTACCTCATTTCTGGAGATACCTAATTAGGAAGCTAAATTTACGAGGTTAATAAATGTTACCACTATTGTTTTATGAGCAGTAAAATGTCAATACCGTGGGACAATCCACCAAAAAAACTCGTATTTAAGAGAGGAACGACCTGACGATGTTTCGGTCCGGCTTAGACCATCCTCAAGTCATGTTGAAAATGGTAGCAAATACCAAGTTGAAGATTAAAACGTGCAAGATTTGGGTTTCTTTATTGATGAAGCGGATAGCCTACATAGTAGGCCTCTGCTGCCTCTATATTTGACTAAAGATGCCTACTGTGTAGCCGAAACGATTCATCAATAAACACACCCATCTGCTGTACATGTGTATTAATCTGCAGGCTAAAGTCAAAACTTAGGACTTGGCACTGGTCCAGGGCAGGCTATTTTTCGAGTCAGTTCCTCTCTCCAGTGCGGGTTTCTGGCGGACAGCTTTCCAATGCTCTAAATGATAGCTTCTCTAACCATATAGCGAACTTCCGGTAACGTGTCTAGTGGTGGGTCAAGTCGTCGTTCCGGATTCTAAAGCCCCCCCATCTCTCGTCGCCAACGTCTCCCCACCTGTCGTCGCTAGCGCCACCCCATCCGTCATCGCTAACGCCGCCCCATCCGTCGTCGCCAACGCCACACTAACCTGTAACGACAGCCTTAATTAGTATCGTAAGACAACAACATTAGTTACAACAGTCAATTCTCCTCCCCTTCCCTCTGAAGCAAATCTTCACTAACTAGCTGTGCTGCATGTAGCACCAACGGGAGTAGTGGTGGTTGTCGTTCCTCGCCTCAGTCGTCCTCGCCCCTGCCGCCGTTGTCGTCCTCGTCCAAGCAGCCACCACTAACCTTACAAATATGAAAAGTTTGAGTTACAAAAGCGAGCGAAACAATAGGGTATTACTACAACAGTTGAAGACTAGAATCAAAAACATCGTGTCCACGGAGCTCGACGTTTCTCTGGGCGAGAAACTTACTACCACAAAACTATTACACGACACAAATAGCCCACACATAGGAGAAAAACTTCGGACTACGTTTCGGTCCAACTTGAACCATTAACTAGTCTCCGGCTAGTTAATAGTCCAAGTCGGACCGAAACGTCGTCACAAGCTTCATGTGTAGGTTATTCGTGTTCCAGTCATGGTATTGTGCCTGTTACCTACCACTACAAGGCTGAGGCACTGTTTGTTAATACTTGTCTCCAATTTAAGTCACCTCTGTATTCGACTGAAGACGCCTACTGTGTAGGCGACACGTTTAGGACATAACATACCAAGGTGCTGCAGCAGTGTAATAATATCTATTTACTACCAGTACATGTACAAGGTATACAGACAATAGCTGACATCAGTGACATACTATTGTATAGAAAGCCGCTTGTTATGCTGAGCATTTCCCGCAAATTAGGTCAGTTTTGTCCCAGGATGCGACCCACACCAGTCCACTAACACCCAGGTACCCATTTTACTGATGAGTGAACATGGACAACCGGTGTTAAGAAACACGCCCAATGTTTCTATCCTCGCTGGGAATCGAACGCAGACCCTCGCCGTGTGAAGCGAGAGCTCAAAAAACCCGCGGAAATCAAATATTCAGACAGCTTTAACTTCTTCCACTAAACAGCAACAAAACAACAGTCTCTCAAACCAAATTAAAAGAACGAGTCTATTAAAAAGTCCATCACGTTACCACCTAAATCCCAAAGGTCGTAAAACGTACCTAAAACGGACTAAGGACATGACACAATGTCCATGACACACTACTAGCGTGTGTCATGGACATTGTGGCCAGCTTCACAGCGATGGTTTACGTGGATGGGAAGAGTTGGCTTTGAGAAGGAGCTGCCGTGCATGGGCCAGTAATCCTGCTGCAGTGTTTCTCAGTTCTTGTGGGTTTTTTTTTGGGTTTAAAGGATGGGGGGGGGGTAATGATGGTATCCGTGGGCGTGCATGGGAGAATTTTTGAATCCAGTGTATCAGTGCCATAATGCTGACGTAATCAGGCGTTTGCCGTTACCTCCTCTTGGCTAGTGGAGGGCAGAACGATTCTTAAGATACCTCCTGCCACCGGAGGGGGGTCCTCGACCTCCTGCCACCGGGGGGGGGTCCTCGACCTCCTGCCACCGGGGGGGGGGTCCTCTACCTGCCACCGGGGGGGTCCTCGACCTCCTGCCACCGGGGGGGTCCTCGACCTCCTGCCACCGGGGGGGGTCCTCGACCTCCTGCCACCGGGGGGGTCCTCGACCTCCTGCCACCGGGGGGGGTCCTCGACCTCCTGCCACCGGGGGGGGTCCTCGACCTCCTGCCACCGGGGGGGGGGTCCTCTACAGGTGCCAACTTCACACATGTCTGCCAGGTGTCACTTGCAATACAAGGAAATGAGACCCCTCTTGTTCACGTATCTCAGCACTGATGAGTTTCATTAACGTCATAGTAACTGATGTTCTGACGTATTGAGAAACGTTTGCCATGCCAGCCATCTGCCAACAGTACCCTAGAACCAGCTGGTGTACAGGCCAGTGTGGGGTTTAAAATGCCTGGGAGAATCAGTCTTTTTGGGGGAACCAGAAAGAACTATCAAGGCTGGATGTGATAAGGTACACGATTCAATACTGCTCCCTGAACAAATTAGTGAGAGAAGACTCCTAGTTTAATTGCTAGATCACTCAAGTCACACACTTAGGTCCGTTGCTCGATCCCCGGTAGGGATGGAGACATTAGGACGTGTTCCCTCAAGACACCTGCTGTCCCTGATCACCTATCAATAAAATAGGTACATAGGAGTTAGTAGACTGCTGTGGGTCGCATCCTGGGGCAAATTGACCTAATTTGCCCGAAAAGCTTTGCATAACAAGGTGCTTATAATGTAGTGGTATCACTGATGTAAGCTAGGCCTATATACCTCGTACATATACATGTAGAAATAGCGATTCTCGTGTTCAAATATACATCTCTGGTTCATTAAGTTAAGAATCGAGACTCCAGTGCTATAATTTGACTAGATCAAAGCTGGAATGGCATAAACATTGATAATTGATAACTACAAATTGGTTTAGAAATGTTCCAGTGTTTTCTGACATGTCTTCTTAAACCAACACTGGCATCCCGACTCTTAAGAGTGGAGGGCGGAGATGTCAAGGACATTACCAGCACGTGTGTGAGTGAATGTCAGGGGGGCTCTGGTGGCTTGGTGGTTAACGCTCTCGCTTCACACGGTGAGGGCCTGGGTTCGATTCCCAGCCAGAGTAGAAACATTGGACGTGTTTCTTTCCACCTGTTGTCTATGTTCCCCATCAGTAAAATGGGTACCTGGGTGTTAGTCGACTGGTGTGGGTCGCATCCTGGGACACTGACCTAAGGAGGCCTCGTCACAGACTGGGCCGCGGGGGCGTTGACCCCCGGAACTCTCTCCAGGTAAACTCTCTCTCCAGGTAAACAATGATTGATGACATTCCAATTCTGAGACAGCTTGTTATGAGGGATAAAAGCTGGCGAGGTCCCGACTTACCAGCCCAAGACAGACCTCAAGTAGTACATAAATGGTATTCAATACCGACAAAATTAATACGACATGTGCAATCTCTGGGTATCCATTTGTAGACGTTCCGCTATCCAGTGGTTTTATCAATACAAATTCAATACGTAATGGGATGACAGCTGTCAACAAAAGATGAGATAATCAGTCCCTCAGCCTTGGAGTTCAAGAACACCGTAGTTTTGAATATAAACACAGGCAACTCCAAGGCTGAGGGACTGATTACCTGTATTTTGTACATACTTATGCAATCTCTTTTCATTATGTCCTTTAATTTGTATTGATAAACCCACTGGATGCCAAAACGTCTACAAATAAAGATACCCTGAGGTCTGATGAATTAGACACCTGTCTAATTCATCAGACCTCAGGTAGACTTATCATACCTAGGGGGCACACTAGACCATTTTTCCCCACCTTGTTCATTAAAGATTTTTTAATCCATAATTTATATAGCAGACGGACTTTACTAAAGTTAAGCAGTATGGGTAATAGTGCCACTACGTTTCAGATATTTAAGTTATATTAAGTGCTAAACTCAAGTGGATAATTCAACACAGTATGTGATGGAGGCCATTCGACCCAGTTGAATGGCTATACCATTCCTGAGATACGGGCATCTGGTGTTACTTAAGTGAATACCCTAATGAAACGATAAAAATTACTGTTCTAGACCTATAGTGTCAAAACGTGAAATTTTTATTTATCCTCGTGCCAGTCCTATCTTCATCCAGTAGTCAAATCTGCTGGACTATTTAGCCTTATAATTAACCAAGTGTCAACAAAGGCTCCTTAATAACAGTGCCCAACGTATCTATTTCGTTTACAGTCCCCTGTCGAAGAAAGTGTTCACGAAATCCTAGACTGAATCTGGCTGCCAGACACTGGGTGTAAGTTCATTCAGGTATACTCAAATACAGTTACATAGATCATCATACATAGCAGCATATGTGTAGAGAACCTGGGTTAACCCAAAAAAAGTGACTTATTATCATTGGTCTGGAGAGATGAACAGTAACGTATTCATGTAGATTTGCCAGGACGGGTCGTGGCCCGGGTCTTCTCCATATGGTGACTCGGCAGTGGCTCCCGGAGTGTCTGAGTTCGTCTAAGTAATGCATCATTTACAGCCCTATGGCGGGAGCAGCACGAACTAATTAACAGAGTCGGTCAAGTGTACACTTTTTCCTCAAAATTGTACATCTGATAGTTCCAGGAATCGCATCTCTTGTGGCCGGTCTCAAACTAGAGCCTCAAACTAGGCAATATTACAGAATTTAACGTTTGATAAATACAGGAATGGGTAAGAATGTGCAGAATTTATGTTGAAGTTTGTGATATTTCTGTCTTGCATATTCAAGGGATATAAGGAATCTTGCAAGAGTGCAAAACTTGACACGTTTGCATATCACATACAACGGTAGGGTGTTCCTAGATGGTTCCGTATAGTCATTCCTGTATAATTTACATGGTGGTCGTACAAGAACGGTATACAATACCGACAAGATGAAATTAAGACGTTGTTAAGACACATGATGCCCAGATGTTGCACATGTGTCTTAATTTCAATTTAGATGGTCAATGACTCATCCGGTCACATCTATTTATTGTTGCTCGTCTGTCGAGCCCACTAGGCTTACTACTTTCCCAAAGATAGCACAATTTGATGCAATCATTCCTGATGTGATAGTTTGTCTACCTAGCAATGTACACAAGCAACAATAGTTATTAAACTCACGTAGACGTTTTCTAACACTAAAAAACTACGAGTTTTACTTACCAGTTTAGCGCCATGCAGCAAGCAACACTAGTGGTAGTAGTCGTCCCTGCCACAGCCGCTGCCGAGGTCGCTGTCGCCCTTCCTACGTCCGTTATCATCGTTGTCGTCCCCATCACATCCGTGGCCTGTCATCGACCCCGCTGCTCCACATCGATGGCGTTGCCCCACCACTGTTATTAAATAAATCAGTGGTAAAGCGTCAATAGCCATCTTAGCTAAGCACATCCAAAATTAGATCACCTTCCCTGCTCACACACCTTTCCCTTTGTCCGTGTTTCACACAACACTAATAACACCCTCACTAACCTGCTCTCAATCTGTACCAACACTATTATTGGTGGCCTTAGTCGTTTTCACCTCCACGGCTGCCTCCACCGGTGCCTCCACCTCCTACGATGTCGCTCGTCTGTTTACAAAAGCTTCGCTGGGAATATTTACTAATTGAAGAGCAATATCACCTTAACCTCGCATTTTTTCTTTCTCAAGCTAACGGAAACAAAAGCACTGCAACACGAACCAGCAACACACGCAGCAACACTAGTGGTGACGGCGCTCGCTGTAGCCACTTCCTTCCCCGCCCCGTGCCGCTGCCGTTCCTCCTGCCCCGTGCCGCTGCCGTTCCTCCTGCCCCGTGCCGCTGCCGTTCCTCCTGCCCCGTGCCGCTGCCGTTCCTCCCGCTGTCGCCACCACCAACCTGCTAGCAAAAGCAGCTGAAGAACACTCATAAATAAAAAAGGCACAATACCGTGACTGGAGCAATACACAAATAACCCGCACAGGGAACAGGAGCTTACGACGACGTTTCGGACAAACTTGGACCATTTACAGTGACTTTGTAAATGATCCAAGTCGGACCAAAACGTCGTCGTAAGCTCCTCTCTTCTATATGCCGGTTATTTAACATATACTTATGCACTGTTCAGCACATTTAAGGACAAGTTTCGCCCATTAGGACTGAAGCCACTGGGCGAAACGCTTCCTCTGATGTCCCCGAGCTCTACATGCCTTTTCCATACGTCTATCATACCATTTGCCAACAGTAGTACCGAGAAATATTCATTGATGCTAGTAAAGAATTCTTAACCAAGCGATGTTATTTACCCTTAAATAACAGAATAATAAAAACAGTGAATAAATGTTGATAAATTAGACATGTGCAACTCTTGGGTATCTTTATTGAGGAAACGTTTCGCCACACAGTGGCTCCATCATGTGTCTAATTTATCAACATGTCGGTTCTCTGAACCATTCATCTACAAACCTGTCAGACACTGCAACTTCTTGGGATCTTAATACTTAGGAATTCTTCACTTGCCTAATTCTTGAGCACGACCTACTTCCACATTGACAAATGTGACACCACCTATGACTGCTGCACCTCTCCTGCCTGCGGTATATAAGCTGCTTCTCCGCTCATATGCCGTATTCTATTCAAGATTGATGGACTGAACACATCGACTCAAGGTTGAGGGACTGGTTACCTCATTCTCCTCCTGTTCTTCAAGTTTATCCTATGTATGGACTGATGAAGCCACTGTGTGGCGAAACGTTTCCTCAAAGATACCCAAGAGTTGCACATGTGTCTAATTTATCAACATGTCGGTTCTCTGAACCATTCATCTACAAATAGTGTATAAATAGTCTAGCAAACTGTTGATAAATGGGACTTGTGCAACATCTTGCAATCCTAATTTTCGAAACGTTAATGCAGTATTAAGATACCCAAATGCTACATAGGTGCCTCGTTTATCATGAACTATCATTAATATGAACACAAAGGCACAATACCCTGACTGGAACAATACACAAGTAGGAGATAAAGTCGTTTCGGTCCGACTTGTAAATGGTGCAAGTTAGACCGAAACATCGTAAGTTTCTATGTGCGGGTTATCTGTGTAAATGGGGTTACTACCCATTCCCCAGACATGGGTGTAGCTCTTCCCCTTACATAAAATAACAATAGCCAGGCTACCTGTGGCACCAACAACAACTCTGCGCCACCGTCCCAACCCACTGACAACAGCACTGACAACAGCACTGACAACAGCACTGACAACAGTAATAACAGCTTTACTAACCATATTGTCTGCATGTAGCAGCATCAATAGTCACCTTTGTCTGCGTTGTCGTTCCTGACGCTCGTCGACCACTGCCGCTTTCCCTGCCGCCAGCCGCCGCTTCCCCTGCCGCCAGCCGCCGCTTCCCCTGCCGCCAGCCGCCATCCTATTAACAAACTCCAATAGATATCCCCAGAAAAATATCACTGACTTTTTTTTCGTTTCTTTCCCCAAGTTACCAAAAGCCAAATTGATAATGCCTCTTCTGATCGATTTCAAACTTGAAATGCTGGTATATCCTACTTAAACATAGATTCTTAAGAATATTGAAATGCGTTTCCCATTTTTAATAGGTATTTCTTCTGCTACAAGTCGGAAATACCTTTCGTAAATACTTTCAAACACTAGAGAGTTCACAGGAGAAGGGGGCCACCGGCATGGGGGCCACCGGCATGGGGTCCACAGGCGAAGGGGGGACCACCAGCAAAGGGGGCCACCGGCAAAGGGGGCCACCGGCAAAGGGGGCCACCGGCAAGAGGTCCACAAGCGAAGGGGGCCACCGGCAAGGGGGCCACAGGCGAAGGGGGCCACCGGCAAGGGGTCCAAACAAATGTTACATAATTTTTGACTATAGGTATAGCAGTAACAGCCTGTTTAATCAGACTTCAGTCCACCAGGTCACAGTCCACCAGGTCACAGTCCACCAGGTCACAGACTGGGTTACGGGGGCGATGATTCTTGAAACCCTCTTCAGGTATACCTACAACTCCAGGTATTCCAGGTATACATCTGCAAATCTTAAAATTTCATTAAACAATTTGGGATGTAAGCTCCATACAATAATAAGAAAAATTCATCAACCGATCGCCTTCAAACCTCAAAACGTCGTATCGTATTCGGTGGGAGAGTCGGAGGTGTTGGGATGTAGAGGTCCCTATTTTAATTAATAAAATATTGATTTCTGTGCGATAGTTTGAGAATACTTCAAAAGTTTCTCGTAGGTTGGCCATGGAAAGGTTGGCCATGGAAAGGTTGGCCATGGAAAGGTTGGCCATGGAAAGGTTAGCCATGGAAAGGTTGGCCATGGAAGGGTTTGGGCCATGGAAAGGTTGGCCATGGAAAGGTTGGCCATGGAAAGGTTGGCCATGGAAAGGTTGGCCATGGAAAGGTTGGCCATGGAAAGGTTGGCCATGGAAAGGTTGGCCATGGAAAGGGGGCCCAGGGAAAAGGTTGGCCATGGAAAGGTTGGCCATGGAAAGGTTGGCCATGGAAAGGTTGGCCATGGAAAGGTTGGCCATGGACAGAGTACTTGCTATTCAAACTATAATTATTTACTAATCAAATTAAGTCACCACCATCATTCTCTCTTCCCTTCATACTGGTAAAAATAAAAGCCTGACTTAAAGAAATAAAAATTTCTCAGCACTATTTGCCAGTAACCAACAATAACTATCAATTTCTTTTACTGTTAAGAAAAGCTTTACTAAAAACACTTCTAGGTATTAGGTGCTAATATAATATTAAAAATCACTACTTCTCTCTCGCTGGTACCAACAAAAGCCTCCTTATCTGCTACTGAAATCACTATCCCCACCACTACCCTGGTACCAACAAAATCCCCACTATCTAGCACTCAGCACTAACCACCACTACGACGCTGGTATTAAAAGCCTTACTATTTTCCACTTTAACCAGCACTAACCACTACCACTAACCAACCACCACCCTGGTACCAACAAAAGCCTCCTTATCTGCCACTGAAATCACTATCCCCACCATCACGCTGGTACCAACAAAATCCCCACTATCTGCCACTGAAACCACCACCACCCTGGTATCAACAAAAGCTTCACTAACACTTAACTCGAGCTCCCAGACGCTGTTGCAGGAAACAGGTCTCGTGTCCCTCAACTTCCTCCAGCCTTATGTATATTCAGCAGCTGGTAATGAAGTATCTAGCTACTACACCACCGCCTCTCACCACGACACAACCCAGGAGGAGCCAGGGGAGTGCAAAGGGAATTGTTGTGTAGAAACAGAGGGAAAGGATAGGTAGGGGAGAGGTAGGGAATAGAGGGATGGAGAGGACAAGAAGAACGAAAAGAATCATGTGGAGAAGACGAACAGGGAGGGCCAGAGGAACAGGGAGGGCCAGAGGAACAGAGAGGGCCAGAGGAATAGCAAGGGAAAATTAGAGGAAAAGGATGTTGGAAAGACTAATGGGAAAAAAAGAACAAAAAAAGGGGAAAATGAAAAGTATGAGAATGATAAGAGTAAACGGAGGGAAGGAGAGCTAGAAAATAAGTGTGAAATAGAAGAAATTAATAAATGGGGGAAGGGGAAGAATTAGAGAAATGGGGAAAATTTTAAAACTGACACGCAAACACACAAAAAAATGCGTGTATTTCAATCTTCATCCTTGGCCCTGTTCAGCAGACCGAGTTAAACCCACAAGTCGAAAAACACAACTGTGCTTCGTGTTGTCGTCTTCATGTGGATTATATCCTACGTACAAAACTAATTACATTTTAATGTTCTTATCCCTCACATTTCAGTCTCATTGTTGCAAAATTAGCCATAGACTGTCATTTTTACCGTAGATTTAACAATGCCATTTCCAAAGCTCCGAATATTTAAAAAATGCTATTATTTTATTGCATATTTCCACGATTCATTGCGGTTTACCCGGAGGATGTTCCGGTGGTCAGCGCCCCCCGCGGCCCAGTCCATGGCCAGACTTAAGTATTTAGACGAAATATGTATTTGCTAACTGAAAAAAAATGGCTTACTTTTCCCATAAATTAGCAGTAGTATCGCTAAATAATATAATTCTTGCGTACATATTAAGTCGAGACTGATTACGTTGACTTCACATCTGCTGCGACGGCTTCCTCTGCATTCAGTTAAAAGCCTACCGAGTAGGCGAAACGTTTCGGAATGAAGCTACGTAACTGTTGCAGTAATGTCTTATCAGGCCTTGACAGATAACGAACGTAATGGAATAGAAACTTGTTAACACTGTCTGGAACACAAATTACATTCTCTCGCAAGACGATGATTGAGGAGAGACCTGCCTCGCATGGGCCAGTAGGCCTGTTGCAGTGTTCCTTCTTTCTTATGTTCTTAAGAGAAAGATGGATATTAACGAAGGGGATATAAATAAAGTCCTGAGGATATCCCTCCATGAGAGAACCCATAATAATGGATTCAAACTAGATAAGTTTAAAAGACACTTATGTACAGTTCAGGACATTTATTAAAGGAAACGTTTCGCCACGAGTGGCTTCTTCAGTCCTAATACAGAGAAAACTAAGAAAACACACATATATATAGTGGTGGGAGTCAGGTGAGGTGAAGCGTGGGTAAGGTGGAAGTAGTAGTAGTAGTAGTAATGGAACTAAGGAGGTGAGGTTAGAGAGGGACCTGTTGGCATCAAGTAACACCAGTTCCCAGGATGGGTAATATCCTCTTGCTTAGTAATTTTGAAATACTGTAACTACCGGATTTCTGCTTATAGTGTTTATACTGACAGAAATTAGTGCAGCTTTCATGCATTTGCTCTCCGTCTTAAGTCGTCTTCTTTTAATAACTAGTTTACTTCATTGATTTCATGAGGTGTCCAACATCGTCCTCTATGTTGAACACATCGATTTTTTATGCGGTCATCATTTCTGCAAGCGTTTTTTTTGTGTTCTGCTATCCTGATGTCCAGAGTTCTGGAGCTGTTTTCCTAACATATACTTTGTCACACCCCCCACATGGTATAGTTTGTAAAAAAGATTCCTGCACTTGTGCCAATAATCATGCTTGGGTTTTTGTATCAGGTCCTAGATAGAGATATAGTAAGTTGAAGAGGCTGGTAATATTTTAGGCCAGTTTTCTGTCAAACATTTTTGAAACATTAGTGGCAACGTGCTGACCGGTTAAAACGATGTAACTAGGAGGCCTTCTTCAATTTGAAAAGGTGTTGGTCTTTGCTGAGGATACGTGTTGCACGTTTCTGCAATCACGTATGAAGTGTAGGGTAAAGTGTAGTGACTAAAAGAGTTGGTGATGTATGGTACTCCTTCTTCGAGGAACTGCGACTGAAGATTCTGTAGGCTCTCAGGCGAAGAAGCCAATAACTAACTACCCCTCTTTAGTTCTTAGTGTCATGGTGAGAGAAGAAATGTAAAGTATCATTCTTGTAGGTAGGCTTTCCGGTAGACTTTAAAAGAAAAGTTTGGCGTTCCCCTGTGGCGTAATAGAACTCCGAGAAAAGGAACTGGTGTCCTTACTCCTCCTCTAGAGTAAAATTTAATAGTAGGTTCCAGAGTGTTGATGGTGTTGAGGATGCCCGTACGTCAAGATTTTTGGGACTACAATGACCAAATTACATCTACGTAACCGCATCCACGTAACGAAGGCGAGGTATGTTATTGAGGATTCCTTCTTGATTCTAGGACCTCCATATATAAATTGACAAGAACTGCACTAATGGGGCATCCCATGGCTGAGTCCGAAGTAGTTGTTTGTACTTCTTGTCCCCGAACCTAAACAGTTTATAAACGAACAAAATTCGACATGCTCCAACAAAATCACATTGGCGGGGTACAGGTAACTCCTGTATCATCTTTAATCACCCTGTGCGAATAAGATCAATGGCTTGGCTCAACTGGGACATTGGAATAAGGCAGTCACGTCAAAACTTGCAAGCTTCTTACACTCTGTCGAGATCCCTGTACGTTAAGGAGGTCACCCAAATGCTTAGATGAGCCTGACTGATGCAAACCCAGGAGCTTTGACAAATATTTCGCGCCAAAACTCCCTGCTACACACGTGAGGGGCCGCTTGCCGATACCAATGTAAGGGTCTCATAGGCACATTTGGTTTGTGGGTCTTTGGTAAAACCATAAAGTCTAGCTGAACTTGGGTTGGTAGGGGTTGAGGCGCAAGAGCTTTTTTACCTTCTCAGATTTCCTGATATACTGCGGTCTTTACTGAGAAAAGAATCTGTTTCTTTTTCCTCCATGCAATGTTCGGGGATGAAACGTATGTGGTTGGCGTCGTTCAATAAATCTTAGCATCTTACTAACGTAGTCTGTACTGTTGATGATGACACTTCCTCCTCCTTTGTCCGCTGTGGTGATGAGAATATCATTATTGTAGCTAAGTGTTTGAGTGCCTGGATGTAGCGACG